TTGCGAATTACAGCAGTTTACAGTTAAAAAAAAAGTCAAATTCAGATGCAGTTTTAACAGCAAATTTTCAAGATCCAAATATAAACTTTCAAGAACAAAATTCGAGACACTGCGAAGCCTAAATTCAGACAATATTGCAGCACGATGTGATTCGATTTTACTGCTATGACTTGCATTGTCCAGTTTGTGCAACTCATTATCGATTTAAAAATAAGAATTTTTCTCGCTAAAATTGATAGTGCAACATTCTGCACATTTTTGTATTTTTTATATTTTTATAATTTGATATTTTTGCTTCAAATGAATATAATCTCTCATTGCATGCAGATTCTGATCAAATTCTCAGAAAGAAAAAAATTTAATTTTGTGAAAAAAAGTTCATTTTTGTTTTCGAATGAATAAAACATCAAAGTGCATCAACCTTCTAACCGAGAAATGACGATTAACAAAAATATGTATAAGAAAGACACAAACACACATGTGGAAGCAAAGATGGATGGGACAAGAGATGGTTGCTTTTGAGGAATACAGGACAACACACAACAATGACAAATACTGATGGACAGTCAACTGTAGAAGTAAAAGAGAGAAAGACTATGCCTGATTGGTTGTTAGGGTAAAATAGCCACTTATTCAGCCAATCAGAAATAATCTTTCAAAGTTAAATCATAACTATGAACGATAGAAGAACTGACTAAAATTTGAAATCAAACATCATAATTTGCTAACATCAGTGGAGAAAAGAGACAACAAACATCAAAAGTTGATAAAATCATTGGAGAAAAGAAATAAGAAACAGCAATAGGTAAGATGGAGCCTATGAATACAGTTTTCAATAGTTGAATAAATCAGACAATAATTATAAACACGTGGATTCAGAAGTCAGTTGACACAGCAGATAAAGTACAGGTACTGTAAAATATTCTTTTTTAGGAATTTACTGTCACTGCAAAATTACTGTAACCATCAAAAATTCTTGTGATTTTATAATTTAGAATGTGAAATGAAATTATCCTTGTTTTTACACATGAGTATGTCACATCATACGGGATACATATCAAATACATCGCAGTGTGCTTAATTAAATGCTTTAATTTTTAAGGATGTTTGTAAGGCAGATTGCATTAGGAAGATTCCAGTTGAGTTTATAAGGCAGAATTTGATATGTCAAAACAAAAATTCAGCAAACAAGCTGCTCTCTGATTGGGCTGACTGTTAGGTTTTAGGGTTGGGTAGCCAATCAGGGACAATGTTTTATGTATTTTTTCACTGACTCGAAAGTTCTGGATTAGATTCCCAGAGCTAACTACAAGTCAGTATAAATCTGAGTATTGTCTGCCATAACATCCAAACACGCAGTATTCGGTTTGGAAGACTGGTTTGCACGTGCGCTTGCAATTAACATCTAAGACAAAAAATGTCAGGAGAGACAACAGTGACTGTCACCTGGTGTGAAAAATATTACCTGGCACCAAAATATTAAAAAAAAAAAATGTTTGAAGTGAAATGTTCATTGTTAATACTAACATTTTACTAGACTCATACAAAAGAGTATTTTTTTAAATATTTTTTCCCATGTTTTGCATGATGTGTCTCACACACAACAATAAGTGAGTTCACAGTGAAAATATATTCCATGTAACATAAATTACTCTACAGTACCAAGGTTATCTGAATGGGAAAATGGAAACAATACCTGTTTTGTTGTCTTCAATGGCTACCAGCGCTTGCGTCAACTTGAACTGCAGCTTCTCGATTGTATTCTAAAAAAGAAAATAACAATAGCAAAACTATGAAAACATGAAATATAAAATTAAAAAATTTAACGCCATAATGCTGCTTGTTAAAATACAAATATTTCAATATTTTTTCAAAAATTCCTTCATTAAGGTAGAATGCTACTTTTAATGTTTGTGTATGGGCAAATATTTTACCGCTGCTCACTAAAATGCAAAATGTTTCAATATTTTTCAAAAATTCCTTCATTAAGGTAGAATGCTACTTCTAAGTTTTGTGCATGGGCAAATATTTTACCGTCACTAGCAGCAGTAAGAATATTTTGTGTCAAAATCTGTCTACAATGAATCATCTTAGTATTAGCACAGATCTTAAAAAAAAGGTTTATGGTATTAATCAACATTATGTGAACTTTTTTGGTTCATAGTCAATCTATTTTTAGAGAAAAACTGTCAAATAATATGCATAAAATGTAATTTTAGCCGCAGTTTTCACAGACCACAATGAAAACACATTTCCTAGTTAAAAAACCATTAGAAATATTGTCAATTTTGTAATACTTCTAGACATCAAAAAGTACTTTGTAAGACACTGTATTTATTTTTTTCACCATGTGACCGAAAATAATTTAGAGATATTGAGAATAGTGAAATGCTCCAAAAACAGACAAAACATGTTATTCTCACTGAATTTTATTTGTGTATTTTCTCTGAACAGAGTGTGGTGACCAAATATTTTTAACCTATTTTCTTAATCCCAGTAAGATGATCCATCAAATAAGTAAAAATAAGGAAAATGACAATATTTTTACTTTTGTGTAGCATTCTACCCCAATTTTTGAGTAAATGGTTCAAAATGGCTACAAAAAATATATTCATATTTATTGAAAAATATTCAATATATTAAATATTTTTCAATAAATATGGATATATTTTTTTGTGGATGTGAGGAAAGTTAACTTAGACATTCAAAGAGCTAACAATGGGACAGACTTTGTTCTGATTTAGTGAAAATCCCCCAAAAAATAAAATTGTCATGCAAAGAAGGTGAGAGAACATTATAGCAAACAATGTTAGTGAACAAATTCAGAAATCTTGCAATATTTTTCAGCTTAGTTGTGTTTAGCCACATCATTCATTTGAAACAGCAATGTGTGCTGCGAATTTACTGGTGACATTGAAATTGACCATCAATTCTGACATATGCCAGGTTCCAATTTGGAAAGTTTGAGTCTGAGGGTGGAATTTTCTAGTTTGTATTTTTGGCCCAAATTAAAAGTGTTTTCAACAAAATGTTGCAACAATAAAACTCAAAAGTGAAGTGAGCAAACAAGAGCATGTAACAAATAAACTGCAAACAAAAACAAAAAGATGAAAATATTTGAAAAAATAAATAAAAACTTATTCATACAGACAACTCCTTAATTTTTCCTTGCTTGTAATTGTATGCAAATTATAACAAAAATGAATAAAAAAAATAACAAGAAATCTTTGAAAAAAATGAAAAAAATAACATAGAGTACCAAGGTTTAAACAATTAATTGTTAATCACATTTTTCAAATCATCTCAGAATTCAAACACAACATCAGAAATATGAGTCTGTACCGAGAAGTACAGGAAACTGATTAGTAATGGTTGGTATCAAAGGTTAAAGGTCATTCTATCCCGATTACATGTTATAGTGAATTAGATAAAAGAAAGGAAAATATATAAAGAAGTCAAAACTAGTCAAAGATGCACAGACTATCGTCTATTGTGCTATCATTTTCCAAAATTTCTAGCCTAATAAGACTACTAGAATGAACAAATAAATAATAAGATAACTTTATTGACATTATTCTTTCTATAGAAGATGAACATAGTCAAGTGAAATAAAAAAAAAAAAAAGTAAAAAGGATAATCAAAAAATTAAAATAACAGATTAATTAAAAGGCAATTAAAATATGTATGTAAATTATGTAAAAATACAATAAAACTCATTGTTTCCGTGACAAATTAGTGAGCCCAGTAAATAATAAAATAATAAAAATAGTGAAATTAAGTACCAGTGAAAATAAATAGTTTTAGAGAAGATTTTTAAGAAACCAGAAAACCAACTACAGTTACCGTATTACCCCGGGCATGCGCCCCTCCTTGGGCAAGCCCCACCCCCCTTTTTTCACAAAAGTTACATGTTGGGAACATCCTCGGTTAAACGCCCAGGGTGATTTTTAGCCAAGAACGGGGTCAACAATAAAGTTTTATTTGTCAAAAACGAACGCGTTTGATTTATTTAAATAGTGTTTTTGTTACGGTAGTTCTCCTTTTTGGAGTGTGTGGTGGCCCTGAAAAGGGCC